AAATACAAGCTTTAAGAAATAGGCACCAAATATGACTTGGGGGGAAAAAGCTAAACTGGATCAACAGGCAGCCAATCCAGGGAGAGGCATCCACTCACGCTGCGTCACTCAGCTGTCATGGCATGGCTGCTGTGACCATTTAAGTCAAGCTGGCAGATGGCACACATATATGATGGCGTATCACTCATCCCTCCCACACACAGGGAAGAGAAAGGACACATCGCAGCCTTGTCAGAGGGTGGGCTGAAGTCACACTTCACCCTGTCAGTTGATTTTTTCTAGTGAGAACTACTGAGTTCATGGTGGCATAAAAATTGTATTATTTTTACTTTTTTAATCAAATCAGTATTCTTCCTGTAGAGATGGGTTAAGGGGAAATGTCTTCATTAACAAATCTTGCACCCGTTTTTAAAGATACACCCATGATTCCATTCTTAAAGGTTGATTACGTGACTCATCACACACAGGCTTACAGGATACAGTCAGGGAGTGGCAACATCAGAATGTCTCCCACACATACAGGCATGCTCACGTCCTTTAAAGAAGTCATCAGAATTGGTGTGCTTGTGAGTTACACATTCCCTGTCTATCCTGGACACTCCCACCACTCTGTTAATACTTGCTAGGAAGAGAGTGCGAATAAAGAATTATTCTTTAAAAATCAACAAACAGAAAAATGTATGAGAAATTTGACGTCAATGGACAATTATCTTTGTGAAATTGATTTTAGGGCAATTCATCATACCTTCATACCTCCTACTCCCTTAACTGTATCAAACAACAGTGAAGATTAGAGTTTATGATGTGAATGGTGGATACTAAACCACATTTCACCATAGTATCATGTCCCATATTTTCGGATTCAGATAATTCAGCAGGAAACTAATTGTTCATCATTTTACAATAAGAAGCTTTAAAAAATTAGTATAGAATCTCTTTTATAATGAAAATAATTTCAACACACAACCTGTTTCTAACATCTGAACAACATTCTATTGGAAATATCATTTCATTAGGTCATGCTTCTAAGGTGAACTGTCTCAAAATTTGATAGAACAGGGCCAGAGATGTAGCTCAGTGGCACAGCACTGGCCTAGCAACTGCAAGGTTCTGAGTTCAATTCCTGGTACAAAAATATGAAAGAATAAATTTGATAGAACATAAGCTGACCAGGGGTGATGGCAATGGAAGGAAAACAAAATAGAAAGTAAGCCCAGGGATATTTCAATGGCTTTGTGACAAGCCATTCATATTTCTATACTGTTGGAAAAAATATACGAATGAAAGCTGAAAAACAAAAAACAAGAGCGGAATAGAAATGGAAGAGGATGAATTTTCATTTTTATAATTTATAGACTCTAAGTATTTCCTATTTTACACTTTCTCAGTCTGTGTTTCTACCCTCCATTCCCATATCTGTTGTTTCCTAATGTAATCAAGCCTGCATGAACCATAAGAGCATCAATTATGCTGCTAGAATATGTTCATGGGTTAACAAAAATTTTAGCAAAACATCAAAGAAAACTAGGCAAAATAGTAACTAAAAGCAGTAGAAGAAAGTTATCATGTCCAGAAAAATAGCCTGTAAAACAAATGATGTGTCAGTCCCATGAAAAAAGAAAATTTCACGAAGCCACTGGAATACTTAAGACTGTCTAGATACTTTCCATTATGTGGATGAAAAGATGGAAGTGGCTCTCAGCAATAGTGGACACACTGTAGCTGCTCACAGCTCTTTACCTTAATAGCAGTGAATTCATACCTCAATTAAAGTACATACACTTTGATGTTTTCTAAACTGATGAGAACAGCAGCATAAATAAAGGAGGATCACTGAGTCTGATCTGCCTAGTGAGACCATGTACCAAAGACATAAATTAAAATAATAATAATTCACTTGAAATTTTCTGATATTTTCATGTAACAGACACAATGAAAAACTGTTTCATTAGTTATAGAAACAAATGATTCATTACAGAGAAAAATATTTTTTCTGCAGATGGAAATCAGCCCCCTCTTTGGGTTGTCATAGCCTCTTTCCACCTCTCTGTTTGATGAAAAAGGGTCTATTATGACTAGCAAAGGAGGTGGTACTTTCCCATCGGAGGCTGGCAGAGTACCTCTGAGGTGGCCAGAGGCCACTAGCCAGTGAATAATACAGACTGGGTGGAAAAGAAATGGAAACCTGTAACAAGTTCTTGCAAGATTCAAAAATAAAAATTTTCTCTTTGCAAACATCTTCCTTATCTGTAAGAAAGAAAGTAAACAGTCCGTGCAACAGAACAGGAACATACATAAGGAAATACTTTTGAACTAAATGATCAAGATCTTAAATAAATGGACACACACACACGTACACACACACACACACACACACACACACACACCTGCGCATACACACATACCAGCACAAACAAAATAAGATGATCATGAAATCACCTTTCCAGAAGTAGTAATAGAGTTACTAAGAGCTACAAGGGACAATTTTCTTGTTCCAGAAACATGCAAATCTTTAAATGTGGTCAATAAAGAAAATTTGAAGCAGAACTAAAAATCGTGTAAGACTATTGCAGTTGTGTTACTATTCGTAATCATTCACACTAATGTTTATATTTTTGTTAGAGTAATATCCAACTGAATGTCATCTACAAATACCCACAACTATTCCATTAAAGAAACTCTGTATAAAAACAGTTGTAAAGAAGTATCTGTATGTAATGAAAGGCAGATAAGGAGCATGGAGGTTACAATCATTTGAATTTATAGTCAGAAAGATGGCAATAAGTGAAATATTTTATCTAAATCTTGCATTTATTGCAGACAGAGACGATCTGAGGGTCACAGTCTGGTATCATTCCATTCTGACCACTAAGCAGGTCATCAGGGCCATCAATAACAGACAGCATTCCCACTAAAATTATCCTTTAGGGAGACTGCTATTAAATGAGATTTATTTTCAAGTTCAGTGTTCATACTATTACAGAAGACATGCCCGAATCTTTTCATTAACAAAAGGTTCCCAGAGACGACAATAAGTCTGTGCTCAGTTCCCATTGTCTAACGTCACTGATTACATTCAAGTACTCAATGTTATAGCTGAATTTTTAATTTTGTTGTTCTACTAAGATAAAAGTCCACTAATTCTTAACTTTAACCCATATAAAGAAGTATAACTCCCTTCCAAGTACTAACCAGGCCCGACCCTGCTTAGCTTCCAAGAGCAGAAGAGATCAGGCGCGTTCAGGGTGGTATGGATGTAGGCTAAAGGAGCCTAAGTTTTCTCTGAGCAGAGCACAGTTAACCCTGCCTCACACTGAAATAAGCTGTATCGTGTATGGCTATGGACATACGGACCTTGCGCTCAAAGTAGAATTATACTAAACTAAGTTTAGATTTACCATCACATAAAGTAAAAGCTAACTTTTAGGTGAATGAAAATTCCAGTCAGAAATCATTGATTTTAGTATCTCTTAGAAAATTCCTCTGTCACTATATTCAGAATTAGCTAAAACATATACATAGTTCTACATAATATCCAAAGATAGCCTTACATCCTGGAATCACTAAGCACATCATTTTTGCAGAAAGACTTGTAGATCATTCTTCCATAAAACCCATTGAGCTCCCAATTTTCAAGCTGAAGAAGTTTTCAATAACCAATTTGTGATACTTACTTGATCTGATATGTAAGTGTTTCTCAACTCTATGAACATAGAAGTGACAGAAATCCCTGATGCTAATTGTTCTGGTAATATAATTTTAGAGACATCATTTTGATTTCATTTCTTAAATCTGAAAAGTATTTATTTGAAAACATGAAGCCATAACCAAAAGTAACTAAAATATGAAATTTTATCAGATGAGCCTATGTTACAAATATTATTATATGTACATTATTTAATTGCATGCATTACTATTTTTTATGTATTTTAGTACAGGCTATCCAGGGTCTCACTGCATAGATCGGACTCATAGTGATCTTCCTGTTTTCAGCCTCCCACTCGCTGGGATTACAGGCGCAAGTCACCATGCCCAGTCTCAGTCACAGTCTCAGCCTGCTCCAGGGGTGGGGCCAGCATGGCATTACTATTTAAATATACTTCTTTGTCTTCTTCCTGGTGTATTACTTAACAGCGAGAAAGCTACAATTTATTTTTATATAGCTTTCCTTTACAAATAGCATTCAATCAGTTCTCATAGAGAAGCTGAAAGCCTATCTACTATTTTTTAAGTCATAAGGATGCCCATCAGTAATGTAACTCACAAAAGCCATGATCAGCTCTAAGAGAGTGGTTGGTGGGCCAAGACAAACTGAGGTTCAGATGATTTGGGACATTAAGCAGCGTGTATTTAACTCATCTGTTATGTATAAGTGAATCCAACATTATAATAGGAATACCTGAGATCCAATTTCCCCTTGAATTTTATTGATCAGTCTATTAAACTCATTAATTCTAAACATGGGAAGACTGAAATAAATGGACTTTGAATTATCTCACTCCACATCACCTAATCTTTTTTTCCCCCTGTATTTTAGGGAAGAGTCTACAGCATGTTCAGGGTCTCACTACTAAATCAGACTCATAGTGATCCACCTGTTTACAGCCTCCCAAGAGCTGGGATTACAGGCATGCACCACCACGCCCAGTCTCAGTTGCTGTCTCAGCATGTCCCAGGGCCTGGCACGGCAGTCCCCTGAGCCTGCTTGCAGGCACTTTAATCTGCTGAGCCATTTGGCTGGCCCTTACCACATCACCTAATAGTAAATGTAACTGAAAATTGCTTGCTAGCTACACAGCACAATAGATGGTGCTGCCATTTATTGCTCTCTTATCTATATTCAGAGTTTAACAATAGCAGTTTCACAAAAAATGATTCTGAGAAAGAGAAAATTTCATTTATGTTTCTACATGGGTTCATAAAATAGAGGATCTTTCATCGAATTTCAGCTTTTTAAGTGAAAATATTTAATTGGTACAATGCTAGTTTTTCAAACACAAGGGTGAATCATTAATTATATCAGATATTAGATTATTTTAGTAAAATTGCAATTGTTAAATATCTTACTGGTATCACTCCTATAGTGGCAGGGCAGAATATGCTCTTCATATTGACACAATAAAACAAAAGCATAATGTGAGAACACATGAAACCAGATAATAAGAGAGATGTGTTAGTTATTAAAATGAGACCACGTTTTTACAGAAACAAAAAAATTTTGTTAAAAACTGGCACTTCAGGGAAGCACTCTTCAAATCTGGGTAATAATTACTCACTGCATGAAAAAAATATTATGTTATTTTTGTCTATTATTTGCTCTATTCTTTCTAATGTTAAACTTTACATAAGACCTAATTATTTTAGGACATTTCAATAGGACCTCTATTACTTTAGGTAAAAACACCTGATAGATTTAGGAAAAATGATCATGCATTCCGTGGGCTTCCAAAGTACATTTCAAAAAAAACTGTGAAGAAAGACAGCATAGACTTTAAAGCAATCGACGGTGAAAATCTGTGGCACATGCATAAGCATGGGCACATCTATACCTGCAAAGAAGTGTGCTTTGAAGCCCTTCTTTGACACAGTGTTATCAGATCTGAATTCAATTCTCATGTTGTTGAATTGGGATGTGATCACTTCGGGCACCTCCGCCCCACAGAATTTGCCATGTAGCTTAGACTCAGAGGCGAGACCACTCCAAATCTCCACATAATCATATTTGCAAACCTACAGACAGTAAAAAAAAAAAAAAAAAAATTGATTATCGCCAATGCCAGACGAGAGAGTACCAGACAACTGACAATTATTTTTGAAAATGTTTCCATATTTTTACCTCTTTCTTGGCGCAATAGAATAAGCGCTTCCCTGGCAAGCGTAAGGGCCTGAGTTTAATCCCTGCTTCCGCAAAAAAAAAAAAAAAAAAAAATTGATTATCGCCAATGCCAGATGAGAGAGTACCAGACAACTGACAATTATTTTTGAAAATGTTTCCATATTTTTACCTCTTTCTTATCATAATAGTCAGACTGGAATTTATCAGAGAAAAAAAAATCAAGACAATGCTTGTGCTATGATGCAGAAAGCACAAAAGTTAGAGAATTCTGTTGTGACTATCACCTAAACTTGTGCACGCAAAGGTATGCTGGTCAGTATACATTAATAGCATATATCTTTTTCAGAAAATACAATGACAAGGATAATTGAGATGGACATTTATTCATGTGATGGTGCCAGTGGGCTGAAGCACAGCAGTAACCATCCCTTTAGAAACATTTTTGATGTTTTAATTTTCAGAAGGAACTGTGAATATATGTGCTATCTACTGCTTTATTTCCTACTGACAATACTGGACATCAGCATATGTAGTCTATGATATAATCACTAGTAATAAAAAAATAATCATTTCCATTGTATAGACAAGAAAACCAAATTGAGAAATATTTATAAAGCTTGTTTGAAATTATATTCTGCAGGGCAGTGTGGTGACGAATGTGGTCATGACATAGATGCACAGTTTGGCTTTGTTCGTTGCTGTGTTCTAGAAACATAAACATGGTATTTCTTTTTTTTTTTTTAACTTTATTTTATTTATTTGTGTGTGTGTGTGTGTGTGTGTGTGTGTGGCCAGCTCAGCCCACCAGGGGGCGGGGTGGGCTGGCATGTGGTGCTGGGGGATTGAACCATGGTCCCTGTGCTTTGCTAAGCTTGTTCCAAGTAGGTGCTTTAGACCACTGAGCCATCTCACCAGCCCCTAAACATGGTATTTCTAATCGAACAACAGCATGAGTAAGTTTCAAAGTGAAAGACAGACACTTGGCAGCATATGATATGTGGTATATGAACAAAATTTATTAGAATGATTTGAATTTCTCTGAGTTGATAGCGTGAAGCTACTCTGCAGGACTGCTGGAGGATAATGAATGACAGCTCCCTTCAGTGTAGCGCAGGCTGGGATGTATAATTCAATGAGGAGGTGGGCTCATCTGATTTATAGGCACTGCACTAACACCATCAAAATGGAAAGAGCAAAGTGACTAGTGAGGATTCTTACGCAATGTTGCGGTCACTAACAGATGCTCCCGTAACACCCATTCCCCAAGTTCCAATAGCGCACACTGAAAAGAAGACATCTTGCACGGATGACCTTATTATGTAAACGTGTGATAAGCAAGGCTTAACAATGCATATGATTGAACCCTAGGGCAGGAGCTGTACTTCAAAATATGTCAACTCACATTACTGCTTCCTGTGACATTAATTAAATGTTAAATCAGCAAAATGTCACTAGGAAAAATGAATAACTGTTTTACCTACTTTGCTGCAAGCAGGAGTTTTGTTGAGCGAGGGCTCTATCATAGCAAGGAGATATTTCCAAAGTTAACATTCTCTCTTATTGATTTTCTCTTTGGGATATCAATATAAGGAATAAAATAATTAAACTTTAAACTTCACCTAGTCTTCTAGTCTAGTCTTCTGTAAATCAAGGATTTTCACAGACCTTTTATTGTAAGCAGATAAGGTATCAAGTGAGACAGTTCCAATCACACATTCTGAAGTCTATAAATTTTACAACACCACAAAATTCTCTAGTGGTTTTCCACACAGAAAGATAATAATAAATTAAGGAATTCTTAGATATGTAAACAAAATTTACAAAAGCCCTCTGTGAGTGATGACCACTACTATGTGCAAAATGGCTTCATAGCACAGAGCCTGTTTATGTAAAACCATTCACCATTCTTCCACCTGAACACAAATCTCCAGTCTGAAAAACATGCACCGATTAATAAATCAAAATATCTCACCTGCCACCACTAATCGTTATAGAGAAAACTGTGATAAGAAGACTCACTCAGTACTCAGTTCTTATTAAGTATAGAATGGGTAGGAAGATCCCATTTTCAAAAAGTGTGCCTCACATAAAAGCTTTTTAAATAACATTATAAAATTTACTCTCTTCAACTTTTTTTTTCCAAATTTGAGACTGTTGTTAAAAAATGACGTTTCATGTGGATGAAACCGCATCCTTGCCAACACCGAGTTTACACGTGGTGTTAAAAATAACCTCAAAAGGCCCATTGAGCTTCGAGGTTGCCCAATTACCTAAAATACACATTCATCCCATTTCAGATTTTAATTTCCTTTAAGGGGCTGAAAAAGTCAGGTACTGTTTTTAGCTCAAAGCTATAGTAAAGGAATTAAAAATGCACAGCAGGAAGATAGGTCTTTTTGCAAAGGGGAAGGAGACCTACATGTGGCGAGAGGAGGGGAATGGGGTGAAATAATAAGGGCTCTGATCTGCTGTGTGCAAGCACGAGACCCCCATGATGACTGCAATCGTGGTGTCTGCAGCAGACAGGAAATAAACAGTGCTTTGCCTACTAAAGGCGAAATTAAAAGGAAAATGAAAATAATCGAAAGAAAGAATGAAAAGGACTAGGTATAAAAAAGAGAGGCAAAGATGGCTCCACAAACAAAAATATGCATAAACCTCACAAATAGTCACAGTGGCTCTGATGAGTTACAGTTCTGTCCTCACATTTTATAGTTTTCAACAGATACTCATCAAAGACAAAACAACTCTATGACTTCATTTTATCACATTCAGAAGTGTTTAACTCATGTTCTTATCTAAGCAAAAACAAAAAAGTGGAAAGGATGCAGAAACACACACACACACACACACACACACACACACGGAAAGATCAAAGAAAAAATGTTTATAACCATTTCTCTGGAATTAAACCACTGTTGGCCAGTTATGCAATATTTTTCTAAAAGTTCTCACTTCTTGATTTGATATTTCATTCATATTTAGAGCGCACATAGGAATTATCAAATCAATTATTTCACCATTTTAACATGATTACCATATAGAAAACTATACCTTCAGTGCAGTAAACTGCATTTGTAAAGCAATGTTAGCTTCAGTTACATGTGTTTTACTGAGGTTAAAAAATTTAATGTTTCTATTGATGAACTATGAGAACAGAGGGCTTGCCAATTAGCTCAGTTGTTTAAGTGCCTGCATGGGCAAACCCGGCCAGGCTTGCAGGATCGCAGTTCGATCCCCAGCTCCACATGCGACACCACACCCACACTTAAGGCAGCCTGAGCCAGGCCAAAAAAAAAAAAAAAAATCCTTCTCAACTTTGGGCCATCGAGAGAGTCAGTGGTCTCAAGTGCCTGCTTAGGCAAGCTTAGGCAAGCACAGGGATTGCAGTTCTATCCCCGGCATCACATGCTGCACCAATCCCACCCACATGGTAGGCTGAGCCGGCCACAAAAAAACCCCACAAACTATGAGAACAATTCATAATGAAAACTGTATAAAATTAAAATACATACATTAGCACCAATATAATACACCACTTTCTTTGGCAGATATCTTATTACAAAACCAGTAGTTTTTGATTTGTTTCTCTATAACACATTACATAACATGCAGCTGACACTAAATATTCTATTATTTTTAATAAATTAGAAAATGTGTCAATATATGGCACATTTAGTACACTGAATAAATCCTGTCTCTGGGTATCATTCAGTCTCACAGCAACAGCCTACAATATGCAATGACAGTGAGAATCATCAGATGCAGAAATCAGTGGTAGAACAAAGAAAGACTGACGTACTTCTGTAACAAAGGTACACTCTTTCTCTGTATGCTTGCCTGTCTGATTTCGGTGATCTCAAACTATGATTTTCAAATTTTCTACTTATTGTACACTTACTTCATTGCCTTCCAATTCAAAAAATTCAAACTTCATGGAAATTCTGTACTGAGTTGGGGCGACCACCTGCCACACGCAGTTCTTATTGGGAGGGTACTCTTTCGGCCATCCGGGGGTGGTAATAGTGCCATTCAGCTTGGTAAGAAGTCCGCCACAGGCAGCTAGGAGGAAATAAAAGGGAAAGGTGCGCCTTAGATGCATTCCGAGTGTCTTCCCATTAATACCCAAACATCTCAGTGCTAAATTTTAACCACATTTTTGATTTTAAGTTATAGAAATCACAGTCTCTACTTCTTAGATTTCACCACAACTATTTCAATTATCAAATCCCATTTAAGAATTACTATTTTGTTGCTCTGGAAAAAGTGACTTATTTCTGAACTGCAACATTTTAAATCACTTTCCAGTTGAGTGAGCAATATAATATTGTGTCTCCTTTTCCTCATCTTTTCAAGGTGTATAATAATATCCTGCAATGATGGGGCTGTCTTGCCTAGTGCAGAACTAAGAAAAAAAATTGTGGAAATTGATAAAGCTACTCTGGGAGCTAATGAGAAGAAGATTATAGGGTGGGGGGAGGGAAAGAGGGGAGAGAGAGAGAGAGAGAGAGAGAGAGAGAGAGAGAGAGAGAGAGAATAGTGATCCTCCAGTTTTCCACCTCCCCAGCACTGGGATTACAGGTGTGCGCACTACACCTGGACTCTGAGGCTGACTCAGCCTGCCCTGGGGTCGAGGCTGGCACAACATGTGGTGCAGGCATCTAACCTTGGTCTCGGCACTTGCCTCAGGAGATGCTTAGTCCACTGAGATATTTCATTGGCCCCACTCAAAAATTTTTGTCCAAGCTAAGTAAAGTTGTATTAAGGAGAGCTAGGAGACAACACAAATTATACTAAAGACAACATATTTATTCAGAAAAACCTTAACAACTGGTTTTCATTCCTTTTCAATGACCTACTTTTAAAAGGTACTATTTACACTTCTCTTCTTAATTCATACTGAAATCAGCAAACCATGGTATCTGAAAGCAGTTTAATTTAATATATATATGTGTATATAAAATAACTTGTTTTTTGTCTTTGTATATAAATTTATTACTATATATTATTATATTATATAGATATGTAAAATATCTGTAAACTCACTTGTAACACTTTTTGATAAGTTATTTTGAAGTAGAATATTTATTTCTATAGGATACAAATAAGTGTCAGGTTAATTTATGATTTTTGTTATACAGTAGGAGGAACCCTTGAAGACATAGGTATAGGCAAAGAGTTCATGAACAAAAATCAAATAGCACGGGAAACACTTGAAAGAATTAACAACTGGAACCTCCTCTTATTGAGAAGTTTTTGCGATTCAAAAGAAATTACCAACAAAGTGAAAAGACAACCCACAAATTTCAAAAACTCTTAACTGAGAAGCACTCAGTAAAAGCTCTGCTCTCTAGTATTTATAAAGAACAAAAAATCATTAGGGCCCCCAAATTTAAAGACCCAATCCAGAAATGGTCATCCTAGATGAACACACACTTCTCAGAGGACGAAAGTAAAGAAGCGAATAAATATATGAAAAAATGCTTCACATCACTAGCCATCTGTGAAATGCAAATTAAAACAACATAAAGATACCATCTCACCCAAGAAAAAGTGGCTATCATAAACAAATCAACCAACAACAAATGTTGGAGAGGCTGTGGGGAAAAGGGAACCCTTCTCCACTGCTGGTGGAAAAGTAGACTGGTACAACCATTATAGAAATCAATGTGATTTCCTTAAGAAACTAGGACTGGAAATCCCATTCAATCCAGCTATTCCTCTACTGGGAATTTTCCTAGAGAAATTAAAAACATCATATCATAGTGATATATGTGTACCTATGTTTATAGCAGCACATTTTCTGATAGCCAAATCTTGGAAACAACCAAGATGCCCATCACATGAGGAATGGTTGAAAAAGATGTGATATTTTTATACAATGGAGTATTACTCAGCTATAAAGAATGATAAACTTGAAGCATTTATATTTCAGTGGATGCCACTTGAAGATATACTCATAAGTGAAACAAACCAGACCCACATGTGTAAATATCATATATTCTCCCTAGTATAAGAACTCAAAAGAAGAAATAAAAATAGAAAGGTACAACACAATTAAAAGGAAAGTGAGAACTTGAGGATTAGACAATGAGGAGAGGGCAAGGAGAAAAGCTGAGAAACAGGACAGGGACAAAGCCCTAAGTTTATATGCACAAGATGAGCAAGGCAATGATCCTGAGAAGTATCAGCAGGTTTTGAAACTAGCAGTTAATTGGTATGATTCTCATCCTGACTAACTATACACGCTGATACCTGTGAACCAAGCAACTGCACTGAAGATAGCAAATTGTAATAGAAGGATCACACTTGGAATACTTGTCATTCTGGTCTTCTAAATACGTACTTCTTGTCATGACATATCAATTACTACCATATTGTCTCACTAGTAAAAGTTTTTTTTTT